GGGAAGGAGGGACCTCAGGCAGCAGCGCAGCCCTGAGAAAGTCTTGGCCAAGCTGACAGGGCTTGCCAAAGCAGGATGCAGTCATCTCGTCAGGCCTCTATAGGAAATGCCACAGACCAGGAAGGGCGGGGAGCTTAAACAACAGGAATGTATTTCTCCGTTCTGGAGGCTGGAAGTCCAAGATTAGGGGACCAGCAGGGTTGGTTTCTGGTGAGAGCGCTCTTCTGGAAAGCGCTGGTTTCTGGAAAGGCTCGCAGGTGGCCTTTCTTGTCCTCACATGGCCTTTCCTCTGTGCATGGAGAGAGAGCGAGCTCTGGTGTCTCTTCCTCTTCTTATGAGGACCCACCCTTAGGACCTCATTTAACCCTGTTTACCTCCTAAAGGCCATCTCCAAACATGGTCAGATTGGGGGTCACATATGGATTTGGGGGGAACACAGTTCAGTCCATACTACAAGGGTCGCCCATTCCGCATTGGCAGGAGTGGCCGCCCTGCCCCTGTCGTGCTCAGGTGTTGGCTGGGAGCACCCCAGGCGAGTGTGGCCTCTGGGCGGACACTGCAGTGGACCGGAACATGCAGCCCCTGGAGACGGTTGCCATCTCCTTGCAGGAGGTTCTCTCTGGAAGGGAGAGCTGGTGGCACGTTCTGTGGCTGCCACACATTGTTAACAGTAAGAATAGAAGCAACACTCACTCCGAACCTGCTGGTGCCGGGCACTGTCGCTGGGACTCGGCATGCTCCTGGAACCCCTGCACAGCCGGCACACTGGCCCTCTTGTCATCTCCGTTTTCCTGATGAGGAAATTGAGGCTCAGGGGGCCTAAGTGACTTCCCCCGAAGGTGTCATAGGGTCCCCACCACTTTTATCTGAGGGTGGCTTTCGGAATTTGGAGGATTCACAATGTTTGCACTACTTGTGTCAAATTCAGCTGTGAAGGCGTTTAATAATCACCCTCCCCGAGCATCCTGGCTCAAAGACCCAAGGCCAGAAGCACTCACTTCAGCAGGTCCTCACCCTTACCTGATGGCATCCAGCATTGAGTGTGCGCCTGGGATATGCTCGTTACAGGAATTTATATAGGGAGCCCGGAGAGGGCTGGCGCTTTGTCCAAGGTAACAGCAGTTGGTGGCAAGGCCAAGAACAGAGCCCTCGGTCTTGTGCTCAAGGCAGCTTGCCCCATGGCAAGAGTCACTTGGCACCCTAGGTTCAAATCCCACCTCTGCCACTTCTGAGCTCAGTGACCTTGGGCACCTGACATCTCCTCTCTGGGCCTTCATTTCCTTGTCTGGAAAATGGAGATAGCCACATCTACCTTATCTTACCAGCCCTCACCTTGGGGAAGTGACTTAACCCCCCGTGCCTCATTTTGCCCATCTATAAAATGGGACACAACAGTACCTACCTCACAGTGCTGAGGTAAAGAGCAAATGAATTCTAAAACACTTAAAGTACTTTGACTGTTAGGACTCATCATAGCCTGACTTTGGCTGAGTCATCTGAACGCGCCCCCGCACCTTCTCCTTCAAACCGAGGACCCAGGAGGCAGTAGATGGTGGGAAGAAGAAGCCCAAGGGCCCTCTCGGCCCAGCCACCAACTCACCAGCAGACTTCAGGGACATCACTAGAATACACTTTTCCCTGTCTGTGCACTGGGATGGGGGATGCTGCACAGTGTGACTTTCTAAGCTGGAGTCTTTGGATCCTAGAGTGGTGTTCAAAGCAGGATTATTAGATTCTGGATCTCTTGGGGTCTGATGAGAATACATGAGGCCGTATCTTATCTCAAGACTCCACAGAGGTCACCATGCACAATCAGTGCCCAGAAAGCCGCAAGACCAGGAGTGCCACCTCCAGTCAACACTTAGCAAGCCCTACTGTGCGCCTAGCACTGTGCAAATCTCTGTACACGGTCTCTCACTGAGTACTTGCAACCATACTCTACACATGTTGCCCCATTTAACACATGAGAAAATTAAGGTTCCGAGAGGTTAACTGTCCAAAGGCCTTTAAATTACACTGCCTCTCAGTATCTTTTTTAATCTTCGAATAGTAGTTTCTGGGAAGTAGGAACTGTTATATTTTTCTCACTTTGTAAGTGAGGAAACTGAGGCTCAAGGCCCCAAGGTATTTGGATGAAGAACTGACTTCATATTCTGTGACGGTAACTGCCATGTGTTACCGCATACCGGAAAACGAAGGTGAAAAGACAGAGCCTTGTA